ACCATGGACTTTGCATGTAAACCTGATGCTCCTGATGCTGAAATCGTGTTTGGTGTGAACGCACCACAAATCTTTACAGACTAGTAAAAGAAAAACAAAACCTACCTGAGTCCCATTTCAGGTAACGGAAAGGGTTGCCATTGGACCACTTCCAGCCATGTTCTGAATCCAGAATTAGTCCAGTCCAAAGCTTGTACTCCTGATTGCTGCCTCCTGCCTCTAACAGTGCTGTATTTAAAAAGCACACACACTCATTGTCACTGATGTTTATTCAATCATCTTTCTAAGTAAGAAGTGTTTTAACTCCTCTTAAAGCTCATTTCTGTCTTAATGTCTTTAATTATTACATTTATTAATGTTTTTGTCACCTTACCTGTGACATAAGACTGTTCGTGAGGATCGGTGATACTGAGCAGGGAGGCACCTTGCTGCTTGCAGCTGGTTTCAGCCTGCAGCCATGTCAGAGCTGACTGTGTGTTCAGCTGGTAAAGTGCTCCAGTTGTTGGGTGTTTGTTCCAGTTTTCCTTTGCTGCAAAGATTTAAATATTTATGTAAGTCAACTGCAAGTTGTCATGTAATTTGCTGTTGTCCAAGTTTACACGTAAAGGCCAAAATATTGGTAAAATATGCTCTTATTGTGAAAGTCTTTTGTGGATGTAAAAGAAAAAGAAAAATCGTGCATTCTAAATGTGCCTCTTTATGCTACGACAAAAATGTGATACTGAACAATACTCACAGTAAGTTGGGCAGTAGCCCCAGGTCTCATGTTCATACTTTGTTTCGACCGCACACCAAAGTCTGTGGGAGTCAACCAGCGAGCAGCTTGAGTACCACTGGTTTTCGTACATGAAAGGAAACATACACATCCTGCCAGCTGCGTTTCCGTCAATGGTGTAAAATTCTGTAAAAAAAATTAATAAAGGTAAGGAAAGGAAAGGAAAGGAAAGGAAAGGAAAGGAAAGGAAAGGAAAGGAAAGGAAAGGAAAGGAAAGGAAAGGAAAGGAAAGGAAAGATCAAACAAGAACAGAACTGATTATTTTGACCACACATGGATACCTTTTCATTTCATTTATATCACTCCAGTCTTAAAGTTGTAACAAAATCCATATTTTATACCTCTGTAAGTTCTTGTACAGGCTCCACTCATCGTTCCTGAAATCGTGAGGTGGCTGTTGGCTCCAGTAGTTCTTGACAGTACAGCTGTGCCATCTGCCTTGAGCTCAGTATAAAGCTCCTGGCCTTGGAGAGCGAGCACCGTTTCATTCTTACATTCCCATTTCTGGAGCTCACTCTTTTCATCACAATCATACAGGCTTAATTCACTCCCCACACTTTTCCCCTGAACTCCAAGACATTTATTCTTCCCCTCGACCAGCAGCCGTCCACCAGATGTCCATCGTATGTCATCACAGACAGCACCCGTTTTAACCAAGCAGAATCCTGTGACTTTGTGAGTTAGTTGAAATGGTGATTCTAGAGAGAAAATGTAAAACAAATAATAATTTATAATAATAATAATAAAATTGAAGCCAATTATTTTGTTCTAAAAGTGAACCAAATCTTCACATCAATGCAAAAGYACAACCACTCCACCTCGGTAATAAACTGTTTAACATTTCTATAGAGTTCTCCAGAGATAAAACATTACCACCAGGTATATTTAGCTGTTTACGTGATTTTAAACTTCTGGAAACTGGTTGAATTAAAATTGCTGGGATACTGTACCGTCTGATGCCAAGCCTTGTATTTGTAGGAGAAAAACAAGTGCCAAGCATGCAGTCCTCATTATGATGCCGTTAAAGTCTAACGTTTAATCCATGTGTTGTCTGCAGAAAATCTCAGCTTTGTCTTGGTGATCATGAAAGGAGGGATGCTTTAAATGCTCTGAAACATCCTGCGATTTCACATGACTTCATTTTTTTAATTCTTCTTAATATGTCAGCATTATCTTGTGACTTCTTTTACGTTTCTTACTTAGAAACAGAGTAATACAGCTCAGTTCCTTATTTTTGCGTCAGTTGAATCAACAACCAAGTTTCAATTCTGCCTTTGACATGCATTCTGCATACTCTATGTCTCAGAAATTGTCTGTGGTTTAACTGATTACAAACAGATTGACGTCCTCTGGCAACTAAAAAGGAGTTTTGAAAATTCATCTAATAAGAGTCTCTACATGAAATTAAGGGTAAAATTCATAGCAGCAGTTGAGACCCTGAGGGGATTTTGAAGGAAACCTAAATTAGTGTGCACGAAAAAAGTTTATTTGTTTGTGTTTCAGTGTCCCTGTAGGGCTCAGTATAGTTTTGCTCAGTTTGAGAATTTATTCTTTATATAGCTTTAGATAAAACTTTGTGTGGCTGAAACAAAACAGAAAAATAGCTAAAAATTTATTTAAGAGAATTAACAATTTTATTAGAAAAATATATTAGATAAACTACATTTTAATGATGGATTGCTATAAAACATCCCAATATTATTTCATTTGACAATAACTTGTCCTAAATGTCTTGGGTAAAGTGTTTAAAAACACTATTTTGCTACTTTTAAGWACTGTTTGTCATAATTCCATGCATTAAAAACCAGAATGTGATGTGACTTTAATGACGGTTTATAAAAAAAAAACACGACTTCAACCAAAACAGTGTGGAAATTTTGCTAAACTATTGTGAAACCGGTTGTAAACGGAAATCTTCAGAGTGCTGACTTTCATTTTTAACTTCTCAAAACATGGTGCATGAACCCCAGTTTCACATTTTTAGCCAATACTGTTAGGTATTGGTATGTTTGATGTTTCTTTAATACAGTCTTCTATGGTTTGTTTATGGCTTCAACCAAGTTGTTTAAAGCCAAAGAATATGCAACACTTTTAACATTTCCAAATCATTCATTGAATGAATGCATCGTCTTCTACGTTTTATGCCAGAGGTTAAAAGAAAAAMCATCTTATTGGGATCTTATAAGGGACAGCTATAACCATTTTGGTCAAGCCTGATAAAAACAGCATGCTTAATCTCAGGATATTGTCAGGACTTGTGAGCTGTGTTGGCAGGGCCGGATTTAGGGGGATACAGGCTCCTGGGCTTGAGCCAATAACGGGCCCCTGATTATTTATGGCTGTGCAGTTTCACACACACACACACACACACACACACACACACACACACACACACACACACACACACACACACACACA